TCCCCATCCTTGAGCTTGAAACAGTGTGTAACCAGGGCCCTCCCAAACCTAATAAAAGCAGGCAGGGTGCAGAGACTGACTTCAGAGCGTGCTGAGGTTGTAACTGAACCAGTCTCTGTACGTTCTCCTTGCAAGTAAAACTTTATTGACTCTGCTCGTGTCTTTCCTTACAGTTTCAGTTCTACAAATGTTTGGTGTTTAAACCTGACACCAGTAATGAACCAGAGACCAATAATGAACCAGAGACCAGTAATGAACCAGAGACTAGTGATGAACCAGAGACCAGTAATGAACCAGAGACCAGTAATGGACCAGAGACTAGTGATGAACCAGAGACTAGTGATGAACCAGAGACCAATAATGAACCAGAGACCAATAATGAACCAGAGACCAGTAATGAACCAGAGACCAGTAATGGACCAGAGACTAGTGATGAACCAGAGACTAGTGATGAACCAGAGACCAATAATGAACCAGAGACTAGTGATGAACCAGAGACTAGTGATGAACCAGATACTAGTGATGAACCAGAGACTAGTGATGAACCAGAGACCAGTGATGGACCAGAGACCAGTAATGGACCAAAGACCAGTAATGAACCAGAGACCAGTAATGAACCAGAGACCAGTAATGAACCAGAGACCAATAATGGACCAGAGACTAGTGATGAACCAGAGACCAGTGATGAACCAGAGACCAGTGATGGACCAGAGACCAGTGATGAACCAGAGACCAGTGATGAACCAGAGACCAGTGATGAATCAGAGACCAATAATGAACCAGAGACCAGTGATGGACCAGAGACCAGTGATGGACCAGAGACTAGTGATGGACCAGAGCCCAATAATGAACCAGAGACTAGTGATGGACCAGAGACCAGTGATGGACCAGAGACCAGTGATTGACCAGAGACCAGTAACAGATCTGAGACCTGTAATGGTCCAGAGACCAGTCCAGGTTGCACTCTGCCTCTGACACAACCACAGCTGGAGTCTGGCACCAGTTCTCTCCTGGCATTGGAAGAGTCAACAAAGAAAATGGAGTCAACCCTGCCTGTCTGTTAGCAAAATATCTCACTAACCAGTGGAGAAACTAATGAAAATCTCAGGTGAAATCATCCAACATCTAAACTTTTAGAATCAGCTGATTCAAGATGGCTCCCATGACTCCCACTGAGCAAACATTAAACCGATATTCAGCTAAAGTCTGCTGTGCTAGTAGCTGAAAGCTAACAGCACAGCAGCTGGCGRGTGATAGGCATTCCTCACAGAATGCTCCTCTTTAATAAAACAAGTGACCCTTCAGATCAGCCGAAGCTGCCAGAGGATCAGCCGAAGCTGCTGCCAGCTCTCTGCAGGTAAGACGAGAAGGCCGGAGAAAATGTTTCAGGCAGGAATGCAGCTGCAGGAAAAAAAATATTCCCAGGGTTTCAGACTTGTTTAGGTAAAAGGTTAGAAACCTTTTTAAGAGCTTAAATGTGAAAAATGTCACGTTTATCAAAACGTGCTCAATATTTGGAAAATTTAAATAAAATCAAATGTCGTCACGGTTTGAATATGTGTATTTTGGGTTTTTTGAGCAATTAAATGTTCTGGGYTGAGTTTGTTTTTGACTCTCGGCAGCTCTCTTTTCCATCAGAGTTGAACTTCAGTCACAACAGTTCGGCTGCCAGAAGCTTTTCTGTGAATCGGAATCATTTCAGTTTAAAATCTCTGCAGAAGAAACATCTTGTTTCTCTTTTTCCCGCAGCTAAACAAGAGCTCTCTGTTTCCCATTTTACCCACTATTCTCCACGCTCTCCTCCAAGTTTTTGACTTTATTTTAGTGGGAGCCATCGTTTAGTTCCGCCTGTTAGTGTCGCTTCGTTTGCATTTTTTGGTTTTTAAATAACAGAGACAATGATTCTGTCACAACTTCTTTAAATCGTACAAAGATCAGGAGCATCGACCGAGAAGAGTTTAACTTCATCCAACTTTTGACAAAACGTCCAGAAGTCAAACGTCTTCATTAAGTTTGTCTCTTGTAGAAATTACTTCCAATTTGTGGAGCCGTCTTTAAATCACAGCTGAGGTTTTGATCTGGATTATCTGGAATTTGTCAACAGGCTGAAAACTCCTCAAACCTGTGGAGAAAGTGTTGACCTTCAAACCGACCTGCCATCACRCCGGGAACACGGTCCTCACAGTGAAGCACGGAGGAGGCAGCATCATGATGCGGGGATGTTTCCACTCAGCAGACCAGGACACGGGTCAGAGCTGCAGAGAAATCCTGTCAGGTTTGAGGCTGGGTGCTCAGAGCCCAGACACCCTGCAGAGGAAACTCATTTCAGCTGCTTGTATCTGTGATCTCSTTCTTTCAGTCACTGCCCAAAGCTCCTGACCATAGATGAGGGTAGGAAYGTAGACCGACCGGTAAATCAAAAGCTTYGTTTTGGTGCTGTCTCTTTAAATGAGTCGCTTCACGCTGTTTGGACATATTTTGTAGTTTGCTAGCAGAGCTACGAATCAGAAACTTTTACAAATTAATTCAAAGATGTCAACAAAAGAAGACTTGTCCATACAGCCTTACATGTTGAAGCCAGAGTCTGACCCAGATCCCGAGGAGAATAAAGACCACCAACCTGCAGAACTTTGGACTTACAAACTTTGTTAACCTGAAGTCTGAGGCTGTTTCCAAATTCAGGAGCTGCATCCTTAGAAGGACCCRGTCTACGTAGGCCAGGTCTTCTGTCAACCATTGTCTGTGAATTTCAGCTTGGTTCTTGTCCTTACCCTGGTCCCATTGCCTCGCAACCATGGTGGCACTRAACAGAAGCAAGATTAAATGTAGATCAAATTTAGAAAAAATATTATAAATGAGCTAAATTATCATCGAGGCATGAAGAACTAACGGACCCTCCATACGAGCTCCTTTGATCTCTGATAAGAAATTATAAAAACATGTCAAACCCCAACAACACAACTACTTTAAACTTTCTATTTTTATACCGACAGATTTTATTTAACACTGTACTGCTGTCCATCACTTCRTCTGCCATTATGAGTCAAAATAAAAATCCCAGTCRGCCTGAAATGCCTCTTGGAATTCTATCTGCCTTAATTTGGGGCAAAGGGAGGACACTTCTGTGGGACGTAACTGACGAAGCCTTTGACTTTGGACAGCCTTTGGTGCATCACTGGGACATAATCGATCTTCGAAGGACACAACCCCTGACCTTGTTCAGCAGTTCTTCAGCAAATACTAACTCTGTTGTTCAATAATGAGGGATAAAGAAAACTGAAGAGACTGATTATCTTGAACCAACCGTTAGAAAGGAACTTTCAGTGTTCATCCGGTTCTGGTCCAAGTCTGGATAAATGGTGTCAGGAGGAGCTACCGGCATAAAATAAAAACACAGATCTACACTGGATCTTATGAGGGTCCCGAGTTAACAAAGACCACCAGTGATGCTGTAAACCAGCAGGGTACCGGTGGAAACTGGACTTGGAGACAGATGATMGGTTGTGGTGACCCCTGACCAGAGAGCTGCCAAAAGACTAAGAGCTGGAGAATTATTACAACCAGATTTACAAACACGTTTACAGTCCAGCTTTAAAAAGAAACAGAGAAAACAGCCCCTGCTTTTACCATCAAGTGTCTAAAAGATGGACGTCCCTGTCCTCCCCCTCCTCCTCCTGAGGAAGACTGAAAACCTCCAACCCACAAGGTGTCCGGTTTAGAGCCAGACTTTGAGTCATGATGGAGGTTTTGGAACCCCTGCAGCTGAAGTCCAGCCTCCATCCAGAACCACAGCTGAGGACCTGCAGATGTTGGATTAGTAAAAGTCACCTCATCAGGTGGACTTCAAACTTTCACACGAGAATTCGACAGAGGAAAGTCCACCGGGTCCTGGTGTTCTGCCAAAACACAAACCGGCTTCAGGTCTGGTCCCTGAAACTGAAACACGTGGAGGAAAAACAACGTCTCATCCTTTCTGCCACCAAACCAGAGCTGAGGAGCTCGAGTTACCGGACTCACGCTGAGACACCGGCAGCGCAGCAGAGATTCATCCTCCTGCAGTGAAATCACAAAGATTCAGACTAAACCTGTTAGTAAAATATCACTGAATTAAACCTGTTAGTAAAATATCACAGAATTAAACCTGTTAGTAAAATATCACCAAATTAAACCAGTTAGTAAAATATCACCAAATTAAACCTGTTAGTAAAATATCACCAAATTAAACCTGTTAGTAAAATATCACCGAATTAAACCTGTCAGTAATAAATAAAGGACTCTGAGGCGACGACTTGTTCAGGTTTATTAGGACCGAGTGAAACAGAAAAGTTTAGACGATTTACAGAAAT